AGAATGAAAGTTCCATAGATCTCTAGCATCTGCCGAATTTTGTAGAATCCAAACTTCACTTAAAATGTACTTTGTGTTGATTGCTGTTCCCTATGGAAAACTAATAAAAGTGAACACTAATATTTGGCTAAATTCCAACATTTTAAATCAGATCCTCAATGGCTTATTGTGTTTCTTTCCAAAACTGATCTCAGGATAATTGTGGTGATGTAGGATGACAAGTATATTTTGTTGATAAGACTTTATATAGTGAAATAGGATGTATTTTGAAGGCTCAAGCAAGAGATTTGAAATTAGATGTTCTCTGTGTTCCTCTGGTACATCTATGCTTTGAATTTAATTAGTTCTCATTTGTCATGTTGTCTTTAGATGTTTGCCTGCATAGCTTGTTTTAGATGGCAAGCTCCTAGAGTGTTTGAGCATGGGGGCATTACTAATCCACTTGGCAATTAAGATGAATTTGTGACTGTTTGTTGAACTTTTATAAGGCCATAGGTACTTAAAGTAGATCCAGGTAGACCATAATACTTCAAAAGATCTGTGCTTTCTTTAGTGTGTGTGAGGTGGTCTCTCTACAGTATAGTATCACATTATCTTCTTGAGTTGTTATGAACAAAAACATTTATTACCTGTTAGCCATCAAACAAGGGAATCAGTGAGTGATTTGCATAGCAGCACCATCATGTCTGCATTTTTAAAAACTCTGTCATAATCCTAATCTTCTCAAAAAACTTAATTATTAATTTCATCCACAGTGTCTCATACCATTTCTAATTAATTCTCCTTCTGCATGCCTATTTCATTCATTGTGTCTGATCTCCCTTTCTGCATTGAATTAAACTGAATGTAGTCAGTACACCTAACGTCACAAAAGTCATACCAATGGTAGTTCCAGTGTTCATCATCTAAGATTATGCCAAAACCATCTTGATGAAATGTAGGCAACCAGATAGATGAAATTTATATCTGGCTTCTACTGTACACAGAGATCGGCATTGTGAAAGTATTATGAGACTCACTCCCCATTACCTCCCATTCAGTTGTTCTACCCCAAGTTTCATGAATTTACTTAAGTTGCCAACATTTCTTTTTATTAGTTATCTTTTACCTCATCCTCTTTTAACCCTCCTCTTTCTCATATGGTTAGGCATGTGGTTCAAAATCCTCCCTTTCTTCCTCTCTAACACCAGTCTCTTAGCTTAAGTATTATTCTTTCATGATGCCCTTTTCCAGAAAAGTGAAACTGAAATGATCTTAGGATATTTGAATTGGCATTTCATCATAAATGGAGGCACCTCTTCCCACAAATTTAAAAAATTTGTGTTTGACGTTGAAATTCTGAAAGTTATCAACTATATGCCATTGTGTTTCAGAAGTGGGATTTTTCTCTGACAGAAATCTTTGGATTCAGTCAATCATTACTTTACTGTCTATGTCCGAAACTTCTGGGTAGTTATCCCATATTTTTCCTGTAATGTATGGTATTTGAGGTTTATATTAATGTCATGTTTTCTGGAGGCCTATGATCCTTAAATTAATTCTGCAAATCCCATCTTTAATGTCATTTGCTTTGACTTATGTAGTATAGAATTAATATCAAAGTTGACTTTTGCTTCTCTTTTGCCAATTTTTTGTCCACTTCTGTATTTTTGAGTTCCAAACCTTTATTGCCTTTTAGATGCTACTGTCTTGGAGTCTCCATTATGTGCTCTAAGTTTTCTACTTTGATGTTTTCCTTATTCTTTGAGAACCTTGATTTCTCACCTAATCTTTATCTTTTAAAAGTTTTATTCCTCTTTTGAATCATTTTGGATTTTCTTTGAGGAATCTGTACAGTTTTCTTTTTAGATTACTTTCTTCAGAATATATCAATTATTATATCCTTGGGTGAAGATTCTTACTCATTTTTCCTTCTGTTTTGATGAGTTTTGTTGTTGGTGTTACCTGCTTGGGAGCTAAGTTTATGTCCAGGCTTTCTGTCCTCGAATTTTGTCTCTTGGCTATTTCCTTATATTCCCAACTGCTTATCTTGGCTTCCTTTCTCACTTTCCAAGCCCTCCTTTTTCCACTGTTCTGGCATGCACTTTTCCTTTTGCACAGACCCCTTCTACCCCAAGACTGGGTGTCTGGTGTTCTGTTCTTCTCTGACTGTAGTAAATTTCATGACAGATAAATGAGCGCAGGTAGGATTCTATTTCCTTTTCCCTTAATCATAGAATTGCCTCTCACTGCAGTACCACATCATTCACTCACTACCACCACTGCCCCAAACACACGCACACACACTCAAATAATCGTACTCCCTTTCCTTCCTAAGACTGGCCAGAATCAGTGTTTTCCCACCTTTTGTGGGGTCAGATTGAGTCAATGGTGGTGGGGGGGAATTGTTAGGGGCCACCATAGCCAGACCTCAGAATACAAGCCTTTGAGGTTTCCTGCCTTAATTGCACTTAGCATGCTAGGTATCCTGCCAGTGGGGAAGATGAGTAGAACTTTATAAGTATTTTAGCTCTGCTTTTATTCCACAAGGCTTTGATCTTGAGTGTTGTTTCTACCTCCTTATCTTGTTGATTCAGCCTTAAATACTATAAATTTGGCTTGTTATTTCCTTTTTTTGAGGTTGTTTGGTTGGAGCAATTATGCTGAAAGCAGCTTCTGTGTCATATTACCTAATTCGTGGTCCTGTCTCAGTACTCCTCAGCTGGATTCATTAACCACAACATTTCGGTCTAGTGCCAGTAAGAAATTTCCCTTTTAACAACTAGGTAGAACCTATGGACATTCCTTGTTCTTTTGTAAAACAAAATATCCTCATTCCATATGAATTCTATTTTTCTTATGTCTTTTATTTCATTCCAGTTCAGTTCTGTTCTTCTGCTCATCAACCTCTTGATATTAGTTTGTTTTCTTCCTGACTTCCTTAGATTGTTAGGGTTGTTTCATTTTTCCCAGTCCTAGCTAGGACTGTCTCATTGGCCAAAAGATAGAGAACATGTATTTATGATTTTTTTGCCTTTCCCTATAGCTTTTAGAAAGGAGCTTGCGTTTTATAGGTATATAATTGATCAGGGCCTTTAATAGGAAAATAAACATAGCATAAACCTAATATTCACTGGAATATTTCCTTCTGTTTCCATACTTCCTGAGTTCAAGTAGAGCTACCTAATAATAATTTATATAACATTTTAAAGTTTGCAGAGCACTTTATATAAATTCTCTCATTTGCTAATTAAAGAATTTCTTTAATTAAGATAGTCTTGATAATAAAAGAACAATTCAGGAGTTGTAAGTTAATGACTTAGTGGTTAGAATCTAGCAGTTAGACCTGGTGTCTACTTTCAGCATTGCATTAGCAGTCCGAGCTTGGGCAAGTCACTTAATCTTTGTAGGTATCAGTCATTTCAGTTGTAAAATCTGAATTGGACTAGATGATTTCTAAGTTTCCTTCCTTTTCTAAAAATTCTTTGCTTATCAATTTGCTCATCACTTCTGGGGCTATTAGACAAAGTTTTATCTTTAGTTGTTGTAGTTATATTACCTTTAAAAGTGGGAATCAGCATAATGTATTTAAGAAATAATGAGACTAGTCTGGCTAGAACAAAGGGTTTATTTAGGAAAATAGTTAGAAATAAGAATTGAAATGTAGTTGAGAAGATATGTTTTATCTTCAGACATGGTTAATGTATTGTGCCTTTTGTTCTCGAAGACGTCCATGACATCAAGGAGATGATGACATGACTTGCAATTGACTTTGATTTGAGTGAGGAAGGGCTGTGCAAGGTCACCAGCCCCGCTTTCTCCTCCAGAGATATCTGGGTCCAGAGGCTAGATATTCATCAGGATGACTGGAGATGGCCCAGGATGCAATGGGAGAACCTGGCCCTTTTAAGCTAAAGTCTTTTCAGGTTCTCACTTTGAGTAAGGTAACACCCATTCAATGAATAGGCCTCTTCAAGAAATGAGTCAAGGATGGCCTCTTTAAAAAAAAAAAAAAATCAAACTGGGAGGGGAAGACCCTCAAGTTTGTAAAGAGGCATAGTTGAAAACAAACCTGGAAAGGAAGTATAGCCACATTGTGGAAGGCTCTGCATGCCACATGAAGGAATTTGACTTTTATCCTACTAGTAACTAGAGAACAATTGAAGTCAGATTTTGTTTTGTTTTGTTTTGTTTTGTTTTAATCAGGGAAATGACATAGCAAATATGATGTGATAAGTAACTAATCAGTTCCATTTTACTGCTTGCAAACACTTTCCTTGTGAAATGACTTTGGGTCATTGAAATTGAAATTGGTGATCTATATAACATTCTCCTCACTAATATACAGTATTTCTCCCTTCTAAAGTAAGCAAAGGTTTCTCCTCCATGTTTCCTTTCCATCTAGTCCTACCCAACTTCAATCACTTAAAAAACTTCAGTAACCATCTCAAGATTGACTAAAACTCCTGTGTCCTTCTCTGTACACATGCATATAGTTTGTTAACTGAAACCCTACTACTTTTATCCATTATGATTATAGATAGTTATTTCTCCTGTCTTTTCTATTAAAATATAAGCATGGAAGTGGAACTGTTTCTAATGTGTTTTTCATTTCCTTCTGCAGCTAGTGTTCTACACTCAGCGGATGCCCTGTTCAACAGTTGGCTGATAGTATCCAGGGGTGGGGAACTTGCAGCCTTGAGGACACATGTGGCCCTCTAGTCCTCAAATGTGGTCCTTTGACTGAATCCAAACTTCATAGAACAAATCTCCTTAGTAAAAGGATTTGTTCTGTAAAACTTGGACTCAGTCAAAAGGCCACACCCAAGGACCTAGAAGGCCACAGTGGCCTCGAGGCCTCAGTTTCCCCACCCCTGGTAGATAGACACTCAGTGAATCTGTGTATAATTGAGTCAGTAAACAAATGTCAATTGTAGACTTTTTCTAATAAATGCATATTTTGGTTGGAGTGTTTAAAGCAGAATGTAATTTGGTTTTGTTATCTTGCTTTTGGTCTTTAGGTCCCAGTGCAGTGGTCAGATATGGTCACTTTGAAAGCAAGAATGACAAACTATGGCTTACCTAGATACCGGTGGCTGACTCATGCTTGGAACTTCTTTCAGAGAGAGGTAAGAACTCCATTGAAATAAGTGAGTGAGGACTAAGTGGCACATACTTGATCTTCTCTCTCTCTCTCTCTCTCTGTGTGTGTGTGTGTGTGTGTATGTTTAAGGTGGATGAATTTTTTGTTGTATGTCTCTGTGTGGAAAAGTTAAACCTATGGTTCAATTACGGCTGAAGCAGTTGTCAGAGAAGTTTTTATTTCATTGACAAAGACCCCAAATTCCTGAAAATGCTAACTACTTTCCATCCTTCTCATTTCCCCTCTTTGTCTTACATATGATTTATTTTTAGTATTTTCAGAATTTCTCATACCTTTTTTGCTGAACTGCAGCCAGGATTCTTCTCAAGGGTGGGGGCAGAGGGTATTCTTGAAAAACATTCAGGTTCTGTTCACGTAAGTTATTTAAAAATATTTAATGTCATTAGCAATAACAAATTGTTTTAATTTTTCTTTGATAATTAATAATTGACTTTATGTGTTCTTTTAAGAATATTCAAATTACTTTTGACTGACTTAAAGCAAGAACGTAAAGTTCATGCTTTTATTTAATTCTTCTTACCACATTACCTGACTCAATTAGTGATAAAAATAATGTCTACACTAGCTAGATATTTTAACTCTGGGGGTTAGAACTTAAATGTTCAAACCAGCCCCCATGCATTCTCTTTAATGACCAGCATACCGTACTGGAACAAGCTCTGGATTTGGAATCAGAGGACATAAGTTCAAATTCTGGCTTCCTCGTTTGGCTACAAGCTATTTCCTCATCTGTAAAGTGAAGAAATTGGACGAGATGATCTCTAAAATACCTCAAAGTTCTAAATACCACGATCCATTACGTCACTGTGTTTCTCCTAGAGTCATAACTAGCAACTTTGGCATCTGGGACCAATGGCATGGAATATGTCCCCCTTTTTAAAGACAAACTAAGTGGGAGATAAAGGGAACAAGGCAGACTCAGACCAAGGAGGAAAGTGCTAGCTTCCCATTTTAACTAATTATTGCTAAGTGCTAAGTTCAGTTGTTTCTATTTTGCTGAAGGATTGTAAGTGCAGTCAGCATACTCTTAAAATTTAGAGTAAAGCCTCTCCTCCCCCCCGTTGCCCTACTCTAGTTATGACTCTTTTTCTGAATTGCAGAATTTATAATAGACATCAATTTTTTTGTTTGTAATGTAATTCTTTTCTTTATAAAAGAAAAGGTATAGGACAAAATCTGGGAGGTGGTATATAAGATAACTTATATTTATAAAGCACTTAAAGGTTTATGAAGTATGTTTGTTTTAGCAACCCTGTGATGTAGGTAATACAGATATTATCCCATTATAAGTATTGAGAAATTGAGACTCGGAGAGATTAGGTGAGTTTTTTATATTCCCATAGCTAGTGAGTGTTAGAACTGGGGTTCTTACCTGAGTCTTTTGATTCCATGATGGCGATCAAAGGACACCCAGATGCTTCTCCTTTTTTACAAGTAGGCACTCCTTACTCCTAGTTTAGGGCTAAAACTGGCTCATTATGCTAAATTTGTTGAAATACTCAGGCTCACACTAGCACAGATTTCCTGTTTATTTGAAGACTTCCTAATTTTATTTGTTTAGTTTGTGTTTTTACTAAAAAAGAACATAAAGAAAACTAATGAGAACATTGAAGTCTGTGAAGAAAACTGTCTCCTGAAACTGTGGAATTTCACAATACTATGAAATAATAGGTCTCCCCCATAAAGCCAAAAAGAAAAACCCACTTGGACAAAGCAAGGCCCAAAATGAAGCTTTTTTTTTCTGATGATTGAAGATGCAAACTGTTATCCAGTGTTATAAATGGAGTTACTTTTTGGGGGGGGTATTTATTCATTCAAATTGCCAAGGTCCATGATGTTTAAAATGCTAATCCTACTTATACAGACTGGGTCAGTCTTCTGGGCCTGTCATTGTAACCCCCAAACCATCCTATAGAATGCAAGAAAGGGGCAGCTAGGTGGTGCAGTGGATAGAGCACTGGCCCTGGAATCAGGAGGACTTGAGTTCAAATCCAGCCTTAGACTCATAACACTCACTAGCTGTGTGTGTCTGGGTAAGTCACTTAACCCCAATTGCCTCACCAAAAAAGAGAGAGAGAGAGAGAGAGAGAAAGAGAATGCAAGAAAAAAAAAACTTAAAAATATCTTGAAATACTTATCCCAAATTTCCTACACAAAAATCGCAAAGCAGAATCAAAAGGGACTTTAGAGATCATTTTCTCTGACCCCTTCCATTCATTGGAGATTGCAAGTAACTCTCCCTACTTCACATAGCATCTTCTGACAATCCCCTCATTCCGCATGTTCTCTTTGCTCTGTAGGCCTTTACTCAGAGCTGTCTTGATTTTATTTAACATAAGATTCTTTAAAAAAAAAAAACAACCAAAACTTGACTGTCTTTTTCTCTCTAGCACATAGCGTGTTAGTTAGAAGTAGCAAATTCAAAGGGAGGCTCAAGGATATTGTTAAAGATATATCTAGCTGGTAGAAAAGACATCCAAATTTCAAAAGATATGGAAATCTCGGATGTGATTTGGATCTATCCACCAAAATCACAGAATCTGTTAATATAGACATAAGAAACTTTTCACCTTAGCCAGAAGTTAAATTAGTGACTTGGAAGTAAATGTGGTTAGAGATTAAATTACAGTGATCAAATTCCGTCTTGTTTCTGTTAGTTTTGCTAAATTGACATTAAAGGTTTTTGTAAAAAAAGATCTCTCTTAAAGTTCAGGGATTAAAAGGGATAATCTGATTGGCAACTTTTGTATATTATGTAAATTATTTTTTCAGAACTATGCTGGTGTTGTAATTGACCACATTATCATTATTAATACAGAATATATGTCATAAATCATGGATAGCAGAAATAGTTGGCTGTTGATATGGACTTTTAAGAAGTGTGACTGTCTTATCTCCTTTGAGCAAAGAAAATGTTCCTGTATTCCCTGATCCTGGCTGGTCTTCTTTTTGCAGTTTAAGTGCTGTGGAGTGGTGTATTTCACAGATTGGTTAGAAATGACAGAGATGGACTGGCCTCCAGATTCTTGCTGTGTTAAGGAGTTTCCAGGATGTTCAAAGCAGGCAAATCGTGAAGACCTCAGTGACCTTTTTCAAGAGGTAAGGAAAGAAACCATATTTTAAGTGCAAGTATTCTATGATTTTAACTTTTCAGTGATGAAAGTGGTGAAAATCAATACTTAACTGAAGAATGTTTATATAGATATATTTTTACTGACTCTAAAGATACTGCTTTTAAAAAAATCTACCAAGCAACCAAAAATTAAATGAGATAACATTTATTAAAGTGCTTAGCCTAGGGCCTGGAATATGTTGGTGCTGTAAATGTTTTCTACACCTAAACCCCCAAGTTTCTTCTTTGCCAGAGTGGAGGAGAATACCATTCAAGAAAGGATACATATGTCTAAACCTTAAAATGTAAACACATAAACACCTTGTGCTTGGGTCTAAAACATATCAACAAAAAATGTTGATCCTGTCTAGAGGTAAATGTTTTATTAAAATGGATTTCAGATTCTGTCCTCTGGAACTACAGAGTATTTGTGGCATTTTTAAAAGTTTCCTTAAAAACACATACATGATAAATTTGTGTTTGGCCTCTACTAATATTGTATTGGGTTGGGTTATTTGAGAATAGCACAAAGCAAAGGAGTCATACAGAAGCATAAAAAGTTTGGAAACCTCTGATCCTTTAAAAAAATAAAAACAAAAACAAAAACAATGGCTGTCAGATTTGCTCTCCAGTTCCCCCTGCTGGCTAATGATTAAAGATATTAACTTTATGTAGTTATTCATCTAGTTAACAAATCTTTTTTTGGGGGGGGTTGGAGAGTGAGGGGTTGGTAAGTGATCACCATGTTGAAGACACAGTACTAGATGCTTAGTAGTGGGATCCGAGTTGAGCAAGAAGCACCTAGAATCTATTTCTAGGGGAAATAGGGGGAAACCCTCAATAAATGAGAATTATTCAAACTCCAGAAATTGGGGATTTTTTGAAATTATCAGACTGGGAATATGTTGACAGGAAACATTCAACGATAAAGGCTTTCGGTTTCCTCATCCAAATGAAGGGGTTGAACTCGATGCTCTTGATGTTCCCTTTCAGCTCTAAATCCTTGCCCCTATGTTCTAGGATGTCATTTACTAAGATTCCCATAGTCTGTATTATGTGTTTTTCAGATGCAGTGATTCTTAAATTCTTTCAGGTTTTTTATATTAGCAGAAGTGTCCCAACCTTTCATTTAAAATGAAGAACAGTTTTCATGCAAGAATTCATGTAATATGAGATGTGAATATTAAGAAATGTTTTTTTAAAAATACTTGTTAGAACGTAATGCTTCAGAGTAAGTGCTGTTCTTTCAAGTAGCCACATTAGCAGAATATGCATTAGGCCAATAATACTGCCATTACTCATGATGTTTTGGAATTGTCTTCAGAGACAGTTTACCAGACACAGAGGAAATTCCATGTCATTACTATATAGTCATACGACATTTTTTTTTTTTTAACAACAGCTGTATTGCCTGGTTTCATTATTCACCTTATTCAGACTTGGCTTTAAATGATTTTGGGCTGTTTTCAGAAATCAAATCTACCCTCAAAGGACAAAAATTTTCCACCATTGAAAGGAATATGCCACAGACTGTGAAAGCTATACTAAAAAAAAATGCATTCCTAAATATTTTAAGCAATGGTAGAATCACCAGGATAAGTGTATAGCTTCTCAATTTTGCAGGAAACGATGTTCATTTGGATTATAAATTGTTTTATAGTCACCCCTAAATGAGGGACATTACTTTGTAGTTATGTCTATGCATGGTATACTAGAAAATTAATAGTTCTTAGAGCCAGCCGACCTGGCTCTTAGTCTTAGCTCTTCTGCTAACTTCCTGTTTGCTCCTGGGTTGTGTCATTGATCTTCTTTGAGCTTCATTTTCCTCATCTATAAAATGAACTCAACTAGCAGTGTCTGTTTCCTGATTGAACATTCTGTAATTTTTCAGAATTTTATTGAAATATTATTGATTCTTTCTTGTTCTTGATTTTATATTTAGTGGAATTTTTGTCTTCTTATCCTCATTGCCTAGCACAGTTCCTACCTGATCCTTAGTAGGCAATTGATAAATGTTTGTTGAATCGAATAGAAATGAGTGTACTGTGAAGCATTGTTTAGAGGGAAATGCTTTAAAGCTTATTTGTTCTCTATTTTTTTTTCCTGTACTCTGCCCCTTGTTATCTATCATTAAGGCATGTAAAGCTAAAATCTTATCATCTGCAAGTAGTTTTTCCTCAGTTCCCCTTAGTGCTAGGGCCTTCCTTTATAAAATTATCTCCAATTTGTCCTGCATATAGTTTGTTTGTACATAATTGATTACATATTGTCTTCCTTCTCACTCCTCTTAGACTGTAGGCTCTTAGAGGGACTATTATTTGTTGCCTTTTGTGGGTGCTTAATACTGGGCTTGGCATATAGTAACTTCTTAATAAATATTAATTGACTTGATTTACAAAGCGTGGTAGACTAGCAATTAGGTCTTTTTGGTCAGACTTTCTAAGTTTATGACCTTAGTATCTAGGAGGGTAGGGATTTTGCATTCTGTATGAAAGGCTGTTCATTGGCTACTTTCTATAGCAAGGAAGATCATTAGAATATTCAACAGGTGAATCCTTTATATATATGTACATTTTAAATAAGAAAATATTATTTATAGTCTGGGCAGCAATGGATAGAGTGCCAAGAAGATCTAACTTCAAATCTGGGCTCTGATAGTTACAAGCTGTGTGACTCTAAACAAGTCATTTAACCCTGTTTGCCTCAGTTTCTTTATCTGTAAAATGAGCTGGAGAAGAAAATGGCAAACTACTCTAGTATCTTTGCCAAGAAAACCCCAAATGGGGTCGTGAAGAGTTGGTCACAAGTGAAACAACTGAGCAACGATATAGTCCATATATACATATAAAAATATCTAATATCATATTGTTATAACAACATATTATATGTTTTATATATTGAATATATTTTATATCCATATATAATACGAAAAATTGAGTCTTGGCTTCTGCTATGAAAAAGACAAGGCAGGTAAAAGTCAAACAAAACTTGTAGAAATTCAACACTTTGCTATTTATACTGATTAGTTAAGGGAAGCCAAGAGATAGTTGAGGTGGATATTAAAGGCATAACTAGAACCTAGTGAACAGGCTTTTCTTTACTGGGAATTCTTGTAGTATTAGCTCTTAAAATATAGCAGCTCAGTGTGAAAAATGACTGAACAGCTTAGACAACCATTGATTTCTACCATCTTCCAGCATTAGTACAGACTAAGTGCCATTAGTCCTGATCATGAAAATGGCAAAAATTAATAGACTCTTGACATGTGTGGATTTTGGTCAAATATGTCAGCACTTTATTTTTGTTGTTTAGACATTTTTTTTAGTTATGTCTGACTCTTCATGATCCCTTTTGGGGTTTTCTTGACAAAGATACTGGAGTAGTTTGCCATTTCCTGTTGCAGCTCATTTTACAGATAAGGAAACTGAGGCAAATAGAGTTAGATGACTTGTCCCAGTATCAAACAGCTAGTAAATATCTAAGGCCAAATTTGAACTTGGGTATTCCTGGCACTCTATCCACTGCACCACGTTCCTCCCCTATTTTATTTTAAAATAGTTTTAATCAAATTTGCTGTTAAGTTTCATTTCAGAAATCCCATTTTTTGTTTTGAAGACTGTCTCAGGACTTATTTTTTTTCAGTTTATGCTTGCTTGATATCACTGTCATTTGCATTAATTATTATAACTTTAAAAGTATTCATTAAGTGTGGCATACAAGATAAAGACTAGTCTCAGAGTTAGGAGGACATGAGCCCCACTACTCTGCTTCTGACACATTCTGGCTCTTTGACCCTGAGCAAGTGATATTACCTCTCAGTACCTCTCACGGCCGCCTGAAATTGTAAATTGAGGAGCATGTCCCGACGTGCCATATTTTTCCTCTTTGGGAGCTGTCTATAACAATAAAATCACAGGTGTGGTCCATTTTTTAAAGCACTTTTCTGATTACTGTTTACAAGTTAGTGGTATCCATTTATAGCAGATCTGTACAACTTGGCAGTTAGTAGAGGGCAAATTAAAATAGGCTAAACTTCTTCAGGGCACAGATAGGTTTTTAGCCACTCACTTTCCAAGCAAAGGTATAATTAATGATTAAACTTTTTGCAAGTAAACCATGTTTTTAAAAAGGGAAATTTCAATTAATATTAATTGCACTTATTAATATTTTTATTTATCACGAAATCACACTAATGTTAAAAATTACTTTGCTAAGAGGTACAAGTTTTAATACATTTTCAGGTTTTCTTACTGTTTACATTTAGTAACGATCAGTGAAAAGATACAACTTGCTCCTCTTGTACTAGAGACAGACTGATGAGAGTTGGTTGCCGCAGGTCACATGACAAACAGGAGAGAGTGTACAATGGCGCTCACCCATCAGGTTACGTGATGGGCACAGTAGTGCCTAGTGGAAGGTGGGTTAAGTGGAGCATGGACAAAGTACTCATTACATCTTTTCTTTCTTTTACATTCTCTACATTTTTTATGGATTGCCTGAAATCCTTTGGCGGGCTGTAAGTGGCCTGTGAGCAGTATGTCGTGCAGGCCTGATTTATAGTGTCCAGAGTTCTGGCCTTTTCAGTTATAAAAATGGTGAGTTGGGGTGGGGGTGGGGCAAAACGTATAATGTAAACTGCATTAATAAAAAAAATTCCACCACTGCATATTTTCATGTGATACTTCAATTAATCTATATTGTAATCAAATAACATTATATGTTTAAAAAAACTTTAAAAAAAAGAGTTCTGTAAAGTGCTATTATAAAGAGGCAGAACGGTAGAGTACAGTGGTTCTCGAAGTATGATCTGGAGAATTCTAGGGGTCCCTGAGACCCTTTCATGTGGTCCACAAATTGGGGCAGCTAGGTGGCGCAGTGGATAGAGCACCAGCCCTGAATTCAGGAGGACCTGAGTTCAAATTTGGCCTCAGACACATAACACTCACTAGCTGTGTGACCCTGGGCAAGTCACTTAACCCCATTGCCT